TAGGGAGTGCAAGGACCGTAACTCTGCGTGATAGTCTCGTTCAACCAGACTCTTGTTGTCTGCGCAAGCGTCTGATTGAACGAGACTACACTGCCGATACAATAATTTTTCGACCATTCAGAACTAGAGCAATGTAGCCGGTAACGTTATGTCAAGAGAATTAACATTTTTAACCAAATCAAATATTTAAGTATCCTATAGTTAGATATAAGTTTTAAATCCTACAAAAATGTAACGTTTGTCCGAGATTCGGCAAACGAGAACTTGTTTCGAGATCAAGATGGCGGAGACTACAGCGCGTGCGACTGGCGGCCATGTTAAGACAAGTTTTTCAGTTCCATAGGTATTGTGAATAATTTCTCTTTTTCTTACATACGTGTTACCTATAGGGAGAGCTTCGCTTGTGTTAAATTACTAAATCAGACCTACATGTAAAGTTATGCAGTGTATATAACAGTTAAGTTTCCTTTCTTGTTTTCTTTTTTGGCTGACAAGATGTTTGATATCTTGAAGTTTTCCGCCTAGGCACATGGCATTAATGTGAGAATGCGAAAGGTTCATTAGACTATATAAGTATTTAAATTTGCACCTCTTGAATCCATTGCAAAAATCAAGTGCAGCATATTCTACAAAGACATTCAAATAAAACATATTAGGAAGGATATTGTTAATCATGTTTAATAGCATAGTTATCTGATATCCACGAAAAGATATACATATATATATATCTTTACAAATAAGCCCTTTGGATTACTTCAAACTTAACTTCAATGATTTATAAATATTGCATCCAGAGATAATTTATGCAAAGTATTTTACAATTTTTGTGCTTTTTATGTGTAAAAATTAATTTGTTCAATGCTATAAAAACTGGATTTATATGAAGTTTCTATTAAAATAAGAAGCATATGCGAAATCACAATTTTTGTCATTTTTCAATACCCATCATTGCAGCCAAGAGAGTCAATAGATCTATATATCATATATATATTGTGGATGAATACATTTGTTTCAGCAACTTACTGACTATATGCTTTATGTATAGTTTTAGCAATAGAGGAAATGTATTGTTTCCTCAATTAGAAATTGAATCAGTTCAGCACATAAAACTGTATATTTTTTTTTAATCGTGCAGATTTGTAAAACAGCAGATTTTCTGTTATAAATAAAAAATAGCTGTGAGATTATAGTAATCAAAAATGAAAATGTTACAGTATGGATTCAATTTTTTTCTTCAGTCTATTTTTTTCATGCAAAATATCAATAAAAAAATTGTTATGAAAATACTTGTATGTTTTTTATCCTATCATTTTGCGTCACTGTGATAAACTCCCTTTTTGTTGACAACCAGCACGTTGTTTTGTTGATATTCCGTTTTCTAAATATATATTACTGCAATCTCTACCCAGAGTTGTCGTAGGGAGTGCAAGGACCGTAACTCTGCGTGATAGTCTCGTTCAACCAGACTTTTGTCTGCGCAAGCGTCTGATTGAACGAGACTACACTGGCGATACAATAATTTTTCGACCATACAGAACTAGAGCAATGTAGCCGGTAACGTTATGTCAAGAGAATTTACATCTTTAATCCGAAAATGTAACGTTTGTTCGAGATTCGGCAAACGAGAACTTGTTTCGAGATCAAGGTGGCGGAGACTACAGCGCATGCGACTGGCGGCCATGTTAAGACAAGTTTTTCAGTTCCATAGGTATTGTGAATAATCTTTATTTTTCTTACATACGTGTTACCTATAGGGCCCGTGAGAGAGCTCCGCCCTCTAATATGAAATGGGTGAGACCTAGTCAGCGGGCACACATAAAAGTGACAGAACCCATGCTGTTGTAGTAGAAGGGGAAATATCCTATTCTGTCCCCCAAGGCTCGGGCCGAGTCTTTTCTTATACTACATCAATGTTATCACTGAGGGTATAACATCTGACAGTAACATGGACATGATGGAAGATGGCCTTCCACCCGAACAAGTGTAATGTGTTGTCTGTGAGCTAAAACCCCATTATCCATAATTACATATACATCCTCCATGGGCAACGCTATAGAACACATAGACCAAGCAAAATACCTGGGTGTTGCAATCCAATCTAACTTAAAATGGGACTCCCACATAAATAATATTACCAACAAAGCAAACTCCACACTTGGCTTTCTCCGACAAAACTTAAAAATAGGTTCAACATCAGTTAAGGCACAGGCATACCAATCATTAGTCCGTCCATCCCTAGAGTATGCCTGTCCTGTTTGGGACCCATACACCCACGATAACATCAATAAGATTGAAATGGTACAACGCACGGCTGCTCGTTACGTACTAAACAAAAACGTCTACACTCATAGAACATCCAGTGTCTCTAATATGTTAAACCATCTTAAATGGCGATCCCTTGCCGACAGACGCAGAGACACAAGCCTATGTATGATGTTCAAAATTGTGAACAATCAGGTAGCTATTTGTAAACACACTAGACTTATACCAGCAACCAGGCAATCAAGGCATGCCCATCACCATGCAATCCTTCCAAATACCACACTGCAGAACCCAGGTCAGAAAACAATCCTTCTTTCCACGATCAATATCTGAATGGAATAAGATCCCACCAGATATCATATCCTCCTGTTCTACTACTAAATCTTTTAAATCTGCTCTCTTGTCACCGTACCCTCAAAATTAAAATCTATATACATGTATATATCATTTTGGCTTTCTCAGAATCGACTAAATCTCTTTCTCCCTTAGACATTATCTTCAACTTGTTGAAGTTGGTCATTACCATTTAGAAGTAAAAGTAGAAGTTAGACCCTGCAAAGAGATCTTGATAAACTGGCACTTTGGGAGACTAAATGGAGGATGGCTTTCCATCCTGAGAAATGCCAGGTCCTCTCTGTCACAAGGAATAGACATCCCATCTGTCACCCCTACATACTACATGGTCACAAGTTGGAGCATGTGACAGATGCTAAATATCTTGGGGTCACCATTACTTCTGATCTAAAGTGGAGTACTCATATCAATAACATCACAAAAAAGGCCAATTCCACTCTGGGCTTCCTGAGGCGCAATCTCAAAATGTCATCCTCTAACATCAAACAAAAGGCCTATAAGTCCCTGGTCGGTCCTCAGGTTGAATATGCTAGCCCAGTATGGGACCCTTACTTAAAAAAAGATATAGACAAGCTAGAGATGGTACAGTGCAGGGCTGCCTGTTTCGTTGCCAACTGCTATCATAACACCTCCAGTGTTGGCAACATGTTAGATCACCTAAAATGGCAAAGTCTTGCAGAAAGCAGGAAAGACGCGAGACTGACCATGCTCTTAAATGTATCATAATAAAGTTACCATTACTTCTATAAACATCTCATCCCTATAACCAGACAAGGCATAGTCATCAAACCTCATT